AATATAGTTTATAATAAATAATAATATAATAATAACAATAATAATAATAATAAAATAATAATAATAATAATAATAATAATAATAATAATAATAATATGTAACTATTAAGATACCAGCGTTTATTATCATCGCCATCATTAATATTGTTTATTAGTAATAATAATATAATAATAACAATAATTGTTGACTTATAGAGTGCATATTGTAGAGACATTGGATCAAGCACATATGATTGAGAAGCAAAAGCACAACCACTGTGTCAAACTGCTCATAACATTAGAGGTTTTTAAAATAAATGAATACACAATAGGTTCAAATGGCAATGTGCTGATTCCTAGGTTATGGAATACTCATTCAGGGAGAGTTGTGTATCTGTCCCATAGGTGTTTGATTCAATGACAAACTGATGTGAAACAAATTTAGGGTGTTGGCAATATGCACTGCACTATCCAATATAATTTAGGCTAAATGGATAAAAAACAGAGGAAAAAACTCAATTAAAACCAAATGAGAGAGATAAAAATAGGATTATAAAATGAAAAACTTAAAAAAAAAGTTAAAAATACACATACACAGATTGGTTTACTTTTTTACATAAATTGTTACAAGTGTAACATCGCACCTTTAGTTTAAATATAAAACAATATATACAGCATGGAACTACTTATTCTATTAATCTACACATATAAAGGTAGGCTATTATTAATACAGTACCATGATTAAAAATTGTAAACAACCTTTTGAATATATGCCAGAACAAATGTTTTCTGCACTCAAACAGTTAAGGCCATTAAAAATACTTGTTTAATGTCTAGGTTTTATTTTAAACAGGAGAATTAAGTCAAATTGTTTTTTTTATGAGGATGGCCATCATATACACACATTTGTATAGCCTGTATTGGAAAGGTCTAAAAATATTCATTGCTAGAGGGACGATAGTAGTTTATTATACCTTTAATGTAAGATTTTCTGAGAAAGGTAGAAAAATAAATGTTGATTTCACATTAGGAAAATGGTACTGTAAAAACCCTGCAGGTAAAGAAAAAAATAAAAGTAAAATCCTATTGACATATAAAAAAAAATGTGAGAAAGTAGAATAGTAAGAGGGCGCACTTGTTTGAAAATCTATGGGTGTGATAAAAATTTTTTTTTTTTTCCAGTGAACTTTCGATCATTTTATGGTGGCGGATTTTTACTAGAATCATCATTGTCAGCGGGCAACAGGTTTCGAGAAACAAGGTGTATAAAAGTCTCACCTAACATATGTACACTACACAGGCATGCAAAACCAACAGACTTCTGGATTCACAGAAATAATTTACAACATGGAATGCAATATAAGCCCAATAGGATCCATGGTTAGATGAATGATTGTCATGGACAGAAAAAAAAACTTCAATAGAACATTTAGTATAAAACCAGGGGCGGATTTAGAGTGGGGCCGGGCCGGCCTTGGAACCCCCCACCCCATTTTGGAGAATAAAAAAAAAGGAAAAAAAAAAAATTTATCACCCAAAACACCTCAGAGGTTATTTCGGGTGTCTAGAAAACTAAATTTTCGCAGGGCATGCCCTTGGACCACCTAAGGTAGTATCATCTCGATTGGCCCCACTCTCGGCTCCTCTTTCGGACATCTGTGGATCCACCCCTGAAAACGGGGAGGAGGAAAGGAGTGTATTCCCAGTTTTCTGAAATAACTCTATTTAAAGTCAATTGTTTCGATATTTAAACATCTATTCTACGCTTACTAACCGTAGCATGAATGACCCCATTCAACCAAGGGTTCATCAGCCTGAAGAATGTGACTGAAAGCAGTTACTGCTAAAGCAACTAACTGGTTCAACAAAACAGATACTTTGTCTACTATACGTTTGTCAAAAATATTTGATCAAACTTCAGCTTTGTCCACAGTATCAAATTTTCTTTGACAAAAAACTGTTGCCTGCCCATATAAAGTCATCATGTGCCTATATATGGTCATAATGTGATGTCATCATGACCATATTTAGACATGTCATGTATTTTTATCAAATAAAATTTTATAGTCTGGACAGGGCTTTAGCTAAGTCGGACTTGCGGAATATCTTTTGTTAATTTCCCCCGAAAGTTTTAGTAACATAATAATAATAAGAATAATAATAACAATAATAATAATAATTAATAATAATAATAATAAAATAATAATAATAATGTGTATATCTGATGATCTACACAACTACCCTATTCCAGTACAGAAGAGATTCATAAAGGTGACGTTGTCCATTATTCGAGGCTAGCTGAGTCAGAGTGGTGCGGGTGTTGGCACACTTAACAGGGGTGAGTCAAGTGGTTCAGGCTGGTCCACTGGGCTTGGATTGTAAGAACTGATCTTCTCTTCCAAGGCTGCATACATATCTTTGGTAATCTGTCCACTCTGAAATATTGAAATGCATACAAAAATATTATAATTGTACTATCATATTATAAATATCTTATTATGAGAAAGAGAACTATTCAGTCATTTAAAAAGCAATGACAAGGAAACATGTTTTTAAATGTTTTGAGAGAAAGATACTGTTCCAGTAGACACTTGTTATATTTATGAGTACCTGTACTTATATTTTAAGAGCAAGTCATAATATTACTACCTTTGGAAGTGGTTCCAAGTCTTTCATAATCTTTTCCAGTTTTGTCTGTGGAAGTTTGTGGTGCGTGTATGTTAGCAACCGCATCACATGCCGGCTAACATTCTCATGGTTCTTTTTCTTCATCAGAAATTTATCAAACACAGTTGTGCTGAAATCTTCCGAACCAAACTCGTCCACCATTGGAATGATTTTAGCAACAAAGGCATGAAGGAATGTATCTTGATAGGCACAACCGCCGTCAAACAGAATCAGGTATGGAAGAATACGCATTAATGCGTCTCGGTTCTTTTGTCTCGCGATATACTGTACGTAGTAGAGACACACGGTTGCTGCTACACGGTCCTTTTTTGTAGTCTTCTTGATGACATCCGGGAGGAGTTTGAGGTTCGGGTCTGTTTCAGTCTCGTTAAGTTTTTTATTGAAGGATCTTGTTTGATCGTCCACAATAAGGGACATCAAACATGGTAGAAATTTCAAAATGAGATCTTGCTCCTGGCAAGAAAAACAAAAACAAGATGTTGAGAATAAATGATGGATCCAACATTTTTTTCCCATGGTGACGCAAGTGCCAGTCATAAAACTATGGTCCGAATGGTGCAGAACCTACAGTACAGTATGGTTTGAGGGGAAGGGTTTAGGGTGTTCCTACTCCCTCTGGAAACTTTGTATCTTTAGCCATTTTACATCTTATCTGAATGATTTCAAACTTATGCATTTTTGTTTGGCTGCTGCCAGTTGGGGGGGGGGGAGTGGGCAATGGGGCAAGCATATCCTACTGTAATCCATATGGAACAACAGCCAAAAAAAGCATGTTGTTAGTCATATGCTTTTAATGAAATTTAAAATACTTTAATAGTTGCTGTGACCTAATTTAAGTATGGATTGTGGTGTGTAAGTACTGCCTTAAGGAAGATTTTAAAAGAACATTAGGGCTTAAATCTGGCTAAAAATCCTAGGAGTGTGTAAAATTCTAAAAGAGTAAATTTTATTACCTATTTTATAAATTCAGGTAATCTTACTCAACACATTCACAGGTTCAAGGTATGTCAGACAGACAGGTGGTTATCAGGTGATTTGATTCAGCTACCCTTCACCTTGATCCCAGATACCTCATCATACTTACCACTTTAGGTTCCTTAAACACCTGACTGTCAATCATGTTCCATGCCTTCACTCCTAGTGTTAACATTCTCATCAGAAGCAGCAGGTTTTGGCTCCCCTTAAAAAAAAAACACACAGCATACAATATTACAGTGTAATGTAATAATTTTGGCAAGAACTTTAGCTATTGCCCTGGTATAGTACAGTAATACATACTTGCATATTTATTTAATTTATTTATTTAGGCACACAACACATGTACCAAGGATTGTCAATAGTGAATATATCAGTGTCCTACTTGACAATCCCTTTCATAAGAGAAACATACACACTGCATAAATCTCAATATGAGGAGAGTTTTGGTGGTTGTGGGAAAAAATCCTGCAACACTGACGAGAATTGAACAGGCCCCTGGGATTGGAAGGCAAGCATCTTAACCACCAAGCTATTCAACTCCACAATGTCAATTATTCCTTTCTTCCCTCGGGGGGGGGGGGGGGGTGGGGATCGCCAGTCATGCATGGTTACTAAACATTAATATAATAATCATATGCCTACATCCAAAAGTATCATAATTTGATAAGCATATCAATGAATCCAAAAAGTACTTTAAAATACAACTAAATCCTTTCCGAGCCATTAGGGGCTCAATGGGCTGGAGCTTATCCCCAGTTTCCGTAGTGTGAAGTGGATGAGAATTGTACTCCCCCTGGACGAGACATTAATCTGTTGCAGGTTAGTCCCCAGCAGTTTGCTGGTACCCATTGATACAGCTGGGTGGACTGAAGCAATGTAGCTAAAGTACCTATCCCAAGGACACAAACGAATCTGCACAGCGGAGACTCAAAACCCCGACCTTATGATTGAAATGCAAACCTCAACCGCTGCGCCAAACTGTCGCTACCTTTAAGATACAATGCCCTTATAAAAACATTCAATAAAAATTTGGGTTTATCCTAATCATTATGGTAAATGTCCTTCCTACAACTTCCTACTCCTCAATTTCTACCCATATCAATACTCCCAGATACAAGCTATTGAAAAGCGACAATCATTTGGTTGCTGTCATTGTAAGTTGATGCAGATGTAAATAAATTTTAAAATCTTACTCTAGGTATTGTCTCACTCTGTATTGAGGAGAACATAGTGCGAATGGTACTGTTGGCTAATGTGTGTATAGCGTATGGATCACAAAGAATCATGGACAGATCCCTGAAAAAACAAGAGTTTATCACATTCACCATCCACAAAGCTTTCAAACTGTTTACACCATCAATTCATAATCAAACAAAATCCTAAATCTTAATCATAATTTTACAATTCAATTTAAAAATCTTGAAATTTAATACCTTTCATTTATTTTATATAATAAATACAGATATATAATATAGACTGGGGAGGATATTTCACAGGAAAGAGGTACTGTAGAGAAAATAGGTGTAGGGGCCTACTGCGTGTTGTCCATAACTTTTTGTTTACATTCTTAGGACAGAAAGCAATTATATATTTGGTAAAATGAAGTGAGGTGGAACATACAAAGAGACAAATTTGAGAGAAAATGGCCAGAGAAATAAAAGGGTCTTTAATGTAGAAATGAGAATAGAAATAGAATACTGGATTAATATAGAAAATATAATTCAGGTACTGGTTCCAAAACTGCAAATTTTTCAGTTTTTCTTACCCAAGAACAGTTTCCTGTCCTCTTCTGATTCCATCCAGGAATATCTGTAACTCCAGTGCTCGTTTCTCATCTACAAATTTCTCCCTTATGCATGCATCTAAGCACCATGTAAACCTGTGGCATGGGTCAAGTGAGGTGATCTCGTGAACCTCTAGGTCATGAAGTGACATCAGCAACTCTGCCCGTAACGTGCAGTAGTGTACGTTCCTTGTCCTTAGAAATAACGTCCTTAGAAACTGAAGCACTCTGTCGTATAGTTTCACATTTTTACCGACCATGCTCGTTAGTGTCTGTATTACATGACCTTGGCGCCGTGTCTTCGGTGGAATGACAAAAAACATTTGTGAATTGCCTGGCTCATAGCCAAATAAACTCTTCTCTTTGCCAGATATGTACTCTGCCAACAATGGTGAAACCTCGTCTCCAAACAATGATGAATTTTCTTGCCATATCTGTCTTTTTACTTCTGTTGCCGCAGCTTCGTACAAGTCTTTTTTCTCAACAAGAGTATTTAAGTACTTCTCCGGAACTTCCGGTAGATGTTTCATCATAGCCATGACAACTGGTTGCACCGATGATATGGAGATTAACGGGAAACTCTTTGCTAACAAGTCTTCGATCTTCTTGTACCGATCCTTATCATCGCTACTGGCAAGCTCCTGTAGCCGGCTTATCAATTTCTCTCCAAGTTCTTCCATAATAGATTGGTGGAATTCTAAACGGTTAATTCCATGGAGATCTAGGAGAGGAAGGGCATAGTGTAGAGATGGCAGCAGGATTCCATTTTCCGCCTGGAAGCTCTGGATAGCTTCCACTGGGTTTGTACAGTTTGTTAAAGCTTCTCGAAGGTCATCGCTACCGGCTATACCAACTTCTTCAAATCCTGACATTTTGTTTTTGCAATGTTACAGCTGTAAAATAAAGTGCATTTTAGATATAAACAATCAGAGTATTTATCACAAAAGTATGAAAAACAATTGTTAGGCCTACTATCACAGATCTGAATACAGCAATGTCAAGTCAGCATATTAATCTTGACATCCACCACTTTAATTTTTTCCCAAATATTGTAACTTAGTAGGCCTATTATAAAATACTATTTTATTTATTGATATAATTTTAATTTTTTAATATAATTGAAAAAATTAAACTCAATTTCAAAAATAATTACTAATATTTTTACATTCAAAAACTACATCCCACTAATTAATTTAAAGTAAATCATAGACGATATTGTTTCTCTTTCTTTGAAAAAAGTTTTAATTAAAAAGTTGAAAAGGTCTTTCGCTTTCTATTTTACGGTCTGGAGTTTGTAGGCTAATTTATTTTTGGTACAGCGCCCACTATCGTTATATAAAGTAGACGGCCAATATGGCTGCCGTGTCAAGACGTTCACTCCAGAGGAGAGGAAAATTCCAACGTTTTACCAACTAAAACAACCCTCCAAATACCATTATGTCAATGAGCAGTCTTCTACAGGTCTTTGAGAAGGACTAGGTTGTATTTATCACGAAATAAATTGAAAGACTTACTTTATACATGGCAATTTACTTGTTGAGGGCAACCAAAATTTTCAGTCGATCGTAAATTTGGCGAAGACTTCCGAGGGGAAAATAAACAATTCGTCCGATCCAAATAACTTTAAATGTTTTACTTGGCTGAATAAGTTCTCTGTTGATTTCTGATTTTGAAGGTCACTTTGCACTACCATTAAATGGTTTTGCAACTACAAAGAAATGTAGGATCTTGCAGCGTAATTTACCTCCTTCCGTTTTCATTGCAAGATGGCCGCCATGTAGGAATTAGGTATCGCGCTTTGTTATTCAAAATTGGTGGCGCTATAATTTTGAAATAAATTCGACATCACTTTGGGAACTGAAAGTCAGCGTGACGACTGCTTGGGTATAGATTTTGGGTATTTTCTAGGTCTTGGGTTCTTTGGTATTCCGTTCAAATCCTTGGGTATTTTATTTTTACTAAGAAAACTAAATACTTTTGTCATAGAGGAAGAATTAAGAAGTAACAAAGTATATTTCAGTCCATTCAGGTAAGCAAAACTCAACGAAGTGCACATAAAATTGTTAATTGCTATAAACATGGGTTCAGAATTGTTTATTTGTGATTTGCGTTGCCATTGATCTTACCTAATTAATGCATTACATATTAATTTTAATAATTAACACAAACAATTACAATAAAAATGGTTTATAAATTGAACTAAAAGGGAAACTATACATTCGAAAAACAAGTATTTTTCAAATTTTAATGCATTTTCAGGAAGCTTGGGTAATTTTGGGCAATTTTTGCCGAATCTTGGGTAATTTCGACCCAGTCATTGGGTATCAAAAATTGTGAATGGTCACGCTGCTGAAAGTTATCTCCAATGGAGACCATGGCTGAAAAGTGGTTTCTGACGATTATAAGTCCCGCTATAAATATAATTACACTTTAGAGGGTATTTCGAAACGGAAGACTAAATGAAAATAGTAGCGTACTATGTGGTCTCCAAAATCAGCGCAATTATAGATGGGTGTAGTCAAACTGCAGAACTAAATCCAAATGTTAGGCATTCTGTCGTGACCAGGCCAAATAGCCTACGGTATATAATGTTATTTTTGTGCTTGTGTTCTTTAGTCACTAGGCCTACCATCAAGCCCATCGTTTTCTTTGTAGTACTTTTAAATATGCATCCCTCCCTTAAACAGTTGTTGATCAAGGACAATTTATTGTCGACAATATAACGAAATACTACATTTACCAGAACATTTGAAGAGAAAGACTAGGCCTATAGTATTGCCAGTATAACCATTGCAAATTGAGACTTTACTAAACTAAAACGGCTTGATATAAAATATAGGCATATATGATGACTACCAACTAAAGTTATTAAATACAAAAATTGAGTCGTGTAATCTTTTGTTTCTCTTTTCTAAAATCAAATATAATAGGCCTATCTTTAGTTTCGTCCACGTTAAAATTCAAATAGTTATCATTACACCATGAATCAGAGTGATTAAGATGTTCCTAATTTTAAATAATGTCATTGTCATTCTTAATGAAACCAGTTATAGTGATCGTTGGCATACTGAATGAGGCAACAGTGATGAGTGAGAAAGTAAAGGCGAACAACCTTGAGGTTCCCCAGTATATGTTGGGGTTAAATGTGAAATTTACCATCGATCCATGCTGTTTTTGCGCAGTGAGGAAGTTACCTAGTGAGAGGCGTTGCGGAGGAAGAAGAGTAGGCCTAAATGTGTTGAATGCTGATGAAAAGTTATGAACATGGACCCGGCGAACCATCGATTTTGGTGTTTCAAGGTGCGAGTGGACTTTGTGGAGTCACTGTGGCAAATGTGTTCCCGTTCCTTTGTTCGAGCCACCTAGGCAGAGGTCCGGGATTGTGGTGATGGATGGTGACCCCGAAGAGTATTTGCATCTTATTTTGACTATCTTTCCCATCCATGTCTGGTCTGACACAAATAAATATACATTAAGATTAAATAAATAATTAAAATTAATTAATTCACATAATAATGCGGAAAATTGCTACATGATTGTACACTCGGATACGTGCGCCTAACAAAATAACATTATTATTACTTCAGTCGGTCGTTAATAATAATAATAATAATAATAATAATAATAATAATAATAATAATAATAATAAAAATAATAATAACTTTAAATAAAGCGCAAAACAATATCCATTTAAAATGATCACCGGCGCTGTAGGGATATTAAAATATACATTTACAAAAAAATAAAAAAATACATAAGAAATATACATTAAAAGTTAAATAGAAAAAATTGGAACATATAATCTTCACAAAATCACAATACCATTGTCGTTCCACAAGTAACTTCCAATAATTACATATAAAAAATATCAGTTTTCAATAGTGTTCGATGTCGAATAGGCATAGGCCTATATGAAACATGTAGGCTGGACCGGTACCTTGACCTCTGACGATTAGTGCCAACAAATTTTCACAAAAATGTGATGCAATAATGACAATGATTATTATTGTTTATTTTCGGTAGATATTTCAGCCGCTCCAAATTTCTTTTCTATTCTTCTTTCTTTCTATGCTTCTTCCGTTTTTTTTCCCGTTAGATTTAATTTAATATACTAAATACATATTTACTCGTAATTTTTATATAAATATAAGTATATCATTTCGATACATATTTACCTATCTTAACTGGACTCTAGAACTAGGCAATACATTGTGTCTGTATTTAACATATTTCAATCTTATTGCTTTATTTAAATATTATCAAATATTATTAAACTTTAACGATTACGTTATTTCATATAATATATTTTTCAAATAAATATCTAAGCCATTTTAATTAATTAAATATAAACTCTGAAAGTAAATTTACGTAGATTAGATCAATAAAAATTGTAGTAATCCTTATCTATTCATTAACAAGAATAACTTTTTCAATCTTCTAATCAATTTTATATAGCCGGAGTTAGTTTCGACCTAGGCAAACCTTGCTAAAAAGGTACACTTTCTCCATCGAAAGGCTTTTTCTATGAATGGAATGACCTCTGTAGACCAAACCCCAGTACCGTTACGATTTTAAATCGTGCGGGAAATCCACTCACGTTATATTTTAAACTTTCAAATAGCCAATTACCCACAGTTTTTGTTGTTGTAGATAGTATAAATTAGCACAAAGTTTGTTGTTGTAGATAGTATAGGCCTATATTGCTAATATGGATAATTTTTTCATTCCTGATAATGACATAATTAATGTCGAAATATTGAATCCCAACACGATGGCGTGTATTTCAATACTTGGAGTATGTATTATACTTTCTTATAGGCCTAATTATTATTAAGAATAATATTATATAACATAATCATAATTATGATCAAAGACAAAGTGTTACTGTTCTCGGTTAAAAAACAATTGGCTGTTGTAGGCATATCGAGTTAATATATTCATCATTATATTGTCATCATTCATTGTCGTCGTTTGTTGGTCGTCTTATCGTCGACGTTGTCATGTATCGTTATATTATCATCTCAACATCATCATCAGCAGTATCATCATCATTACACTACCAATCTAGCACCACCACCCCGTCACCGTAATCACCACCACCACCACCACCACCCGCCACCGTCATGATCACACTCTCATCATCACCTACTGTATCACTTCTGGCTTACATAATATAATCATAATCAATGACAAAGTGTTACTGTTCTCGGTTAAAAAACCAATTGGCTGTTGTAGCCGTATCCAGTTAAATATTCATCATTAATATTTTTGTTATAATTTTTTTTTATAACTTGTTTTTTTTAAATAAATTTTAACCGAATCTTATTTGTAAATATTATTGATATTTTGGATGTTATGTTGGGACTTTTGGCTCACTGAGTTATAGAGGCAATTGCTTCTTTAGAAGTCCTTGGGCCTTTGTGTCTAATAAATAATTGTAATGTAGGCCTAATGAAATTAGTATTATCATCATTCACACATCTCTCTTTCTCCTGTACTTCGTTTTGTCGTTGGTGGCGTTTTGTCGTGCGCAAAAAATATAGATATCGGAAAAACTGCGTTTTCATCAACACCGTAAAAAATCAGTTAGCAAGTCGCATAAAATCGCGTTTGTTACGATGATTCGGACCATGTAATAAAATCTAGGTCAAAAGCCTCTACTTTAAATCAAGAAACAAGGTAGGTAAGGCTAAACTTGTACTCTAGGCCTACGACCTAGGTAGGCCTAGGGCCTAGGCTGCCTAGTCTACTGTCTAGGACTAGGCTAGCTAGCCTAGGCCCTTGGCCTGGTAGCCCGGCTTAGCTAGGCCTAGGATCTCAATATAGACCTAGGCCTATGGCTATGGCTTAGTCTAGGCTCTAGACCTATGCTATGGCCTGCATTCCCTAGGATATAGGCCTATATGGCTAATTTTTATGCTGCTGCTAGACCAGCATTTAGCATGAGGTCTGGCTGCAGCACTTAGATAGGGGCCTAATTAATCCTACTTAGCCTAGGCCTAGTCCAGTTGTAACGTATGTTAATTATTATATAGGCCTGCTGTATAAGCCTGTAGAGCACCTACATTTGGTCATCACAAATCCAGAAGTAAGCCTCTCTTACAGGGTACTTATTATTAGCAGTGGCATGTGAGTAATATGGGGTGCAGATGGGGTGGGGGTTCAAATATCAACTCGGCTGGCCCCAAGTCAACTTGGCCCCAATTTTCTGTGTATTTACAAAATAATTATATTAAAAAAGAGATTTGAATACAAAGCCGAAATATGCCAAAAAAAGTGTTTTGAATTGATGCCTTTTTTTTATTCATTTACATCCACCATCCACATTTTTAAAAAAGCTGCATTTAATAACAAAAAATTATAACAATTTAAAAAAGGCCTGATATAACTAATAATAACGATATGATGACAACAATAATAATAACAACATAATACTAATAATTTATACAAAAAGTGTATTATTAGAGGGGGAGGGGGAGGCACTTGGGGAGCACAATTTTTATATTTTTTTGGA